ATACCCTGGAAAGCTATGTCAAAGAATATGTTACCAAGAACGATGTTGTGGTCAGAAACATTGAGTCCCACATGGGACAGATAGCTACTAACCTTAACACCAAGACACCAGGCCATTTACCAAGGGATACTGAAGTTCCCTCAACAACCTCCCCAGAAACCTGAGAGGTTAGTAACATGTCTAGCTAAAGACATTAAACTAAGTGCTGACTGGGAGGCAACCCAATGGATACCTTTGCTCTCTAACAAAGAGCAAAGTTTTGGGGTGGTTAAACTTAACCACACAGCTCCCAAAATGGAGGGAACGTCTGATATTCAACTCTAAAGTCCAAATAAAATATGTTCCATTCCAGGAACGTAGTTTTGGGGTGGTTCAATAACCACATATCCCCATAATATATATATATATATATATATATATATATATATATATATATATTGCAATTTTAATCTTAATCTTAATAAATAAGTAGTATTTCTTTACAATGCACTTTGTATTTCAAGTTCTTTTATTAAGTAGGTTTGTATTTTATTCATTAGGAATTAGTATATTATTAATGTTATTATAGAATGTAGGTAGAAGACAAAGGGAACATTCCCTGGCTTAGGAGATAAGAGTGACAGGGACACCTGTCCCTGCTGAGTCACTTACGTATACGCAGCCATTATCAAATTTGCACTCATTGCAGATTTTGAAAACGTGCCCTGATAAAGCAACTGTCTCCTCAGCCATTAATGCAACTGCCCCTACTCTGATTTCCCTCTCTCCCATGTTTGTAACCTAAACTGTTACACCTCCTTACTACCATCAGCAGCAGTTGAATACCACTAACCCCTGACCATTCGTTCTGTAACGTCCCCATACCACTACCTCCTCAACTTCCTTTCTTTAATCTCCACGTCCTAAAAAACTCTCCATCATCCATCCTCTACGTTCCTATATAAACTCATTTCCTTTCTCCTTCAAACCTTACTACCTTCTGCTAACTTAGAAACTTTTGCTCTCATCACCCTATTCTGCATTTTTGCCCAAAACCTTTCCTTCTTCCAAAACCATGACTAGACTTTTAGTAACAGTTATCCTTGTGGCTAGCCGTGGCCCAGAGCCCTAAATTACTGAGGAGGTTGTTCATCTCTACCCAGAGAGGAACATCTCCATGCAAGACAAGGCTCCTATTCCCTTCTTTGTGAAGAAAGCCTTGACCAACCTCAAGTGGCTTCTGTTTACCACTGACGAACGAGAAGTCAAGATCTCGTTGGTGGGTGAGTTCTTGTATCATGCCAAGAGGCTGCCTCCAGGTTACACCACTGATGAGGTGACGGTAAGGGGGAAGAAAGTATCATTCTCCCCTCTGCTATCAAGGAGGTACTCAATCTCCCCGCCGTTTCCAAATGCCCATACCAGGAATACATAGAGAACATAGAAGTCTCTAAGTTCAAGAGAGACGTAAAGAAAATGATCGCCAATAGCAATCTCGTCTACTCAAAAGGATCCCTCTACAAGGGAAGCATGAGAGACGAAGCCAGGTTCTGGGCTTTGTTTGCCAACTCTAACATCACTCCCTCCACCCACGATGCCACTGTCAAGTGGGCACTCCAGGTGAAAATCTACCGCATTATGAGGAACATTTCTTTTGATTTAGTACCTCTTATCTACGGCAGTCCGAAGAAGGAGATAAAGAAGACTATTGTCTTCCTTTGCTGCCTGATCACAAAGATCTGTTTGAGAGCTGGAGTGAAGACCTACAAAGATGATGAGACTGTGGTAGCGTCTGTCATCGATTCTAAAACTTGGAGTGGTCTAAGGAGCACCTTGATAAACCTTTGGTTTACCATGTTTTTAGACTAAATTATACAAGAATTATGTAATAGAATGCATGGAATTCAAGGTTTTAAAACATATAAGTCATAAGATAGAAAATTGAGCTGACGTTTTGATGTTATTTGTATTTTGAAGGTAAAACCACAAATATTGGTGCTAAGAAGTGCTAAAGAAATCATGACGGGGAAGTTGCGGCTCAATATGGACCAAAAGAAGCCAAAGTATCATACTCCCCCTCTGCTATCAAGAAGGTACTCAATCTCCCCACCGTTCACAAATGCCCATACCAGGAATACATAGAGAACAAGGAAGTCTCTAAGTTCAAGAGAGACATAAAGAAAATGATCGCCATCAGCAATCCCGTTTACTCAAAAGGATCCCTCTACAAGGGAAGCATGAGAGACGAAGCCAGGTTCTGGGCTTTGTTTGCCAACTCTAACATCACTCCCTCCACCCACGATGCCACTGTCAAGTGGGCACTCCAGGTGCAAATCTACTGCATTATGAGGAACATTTCTTTTGATGCAGTACCTCTTATCTACGGCAGTCTGAAGAAGAAGATAAAGAAGACTACTGTCTTCCTTCCCTGCCTGATCACAAAGATGTGTTTGAGAGCTGGAGTGAAGACCTACAAAGATGATGAGACTGTGGTAACGTCTGTCATCGATTCTAAAACTTGGAGTGGTCTGAGGAGCACCTTGATAAACCTTTGGTTTACCATATTTTTAGACTAAATTATACAAGAATTATGTAATAGAATGCATGGAATTCAAGGTTTTAAAACATATAAGTCATAAGATAGGAAATTGAGTTGACGTTTTGATGTTATTTGTATTTTGAAGGTAAAACCACAAATATTGGTGCTAAGAAGTGCTAAAGAAATCATGACGGAGAAGTTGCGGCTCAATATGGACCAAAAGAAGCCAAAGTATTACAATTCAAGGACCAAAAGAAGCCAAAGTATTACAATTCAAGGACCAGAAGAGCACGCTCAAGCGCACAAGAGGACGCGCGAGTGCTTCATAGTAGGGAAAACAGCCAAACTGGGCAAGTCAGGACGCTCAAGCGCATAGATGCACGCTCAAGCGCCCAAGAAGACAAGAATTTGTCCTCGAGGAGCACGCTCGAGCGCCCAGTAGCACGCTCGAGCGCGCTCAGGCAGGCAGAAACAGCAATTTGAATCACATTAGCACACTCAAGCGGCCAACAACACGCTTGAGTGCCCAAGAACGCATCAGACATCAAAGATTCACCAAGATTTAATGAATATTTTCCAGTGTAGGATATCCAGAATTAAAGCGAAAACATATCGAACCTAATTTAAAGAGATTCACGGAGGATTGAAGCAGGATTATAACAAGATTCAAAGTCTAAAATCTATCACCAATCTACAAGATATTGAACGCAAAAGGAAACAATTATAAAATCAATTATAAATCTGATATGGATACTATGAGAGATGTAATAAAGGATATGGCTTCAATGGTTATAAGTAGGGAATGGAGGCTGAAGGATAGACCAAGTCAGAAAGCAATACACAAGTCCAGAGAATTACATGAAGACTGAAGGAGGAATCCTGTTGCGGAGCGCTGGAACACTGAGGAACCAAGTCAACATCATACCAATGGAGGCTCGGGGTTCTCTTTTCTTTATAATTTCTTTTGAATTCAGTATGCTAGGCTAGACTTTTATGTAGTTAAGGGTAGATGGAACCCAATTGAATCTTTATGTTTATGAATTAAATTGTCTCTGAATTCTTTTCTTTTTATAATTGAATAAATTTATCTGTCGTTAATGATTTCTATGAGTTTTCTCCTTATAGAATGATTTTGGGGAATTGTATGACAATAGGGATGTTGGTGCATGAACCCTTACTTGATAAATTTATCATAATCCTTGTGATCTAGGGATAGACATAGCGTAATTGTGCAATCTTATAATTCTTGATCTTAATGCATATTTTCTTGGGGAATAATCGGGGAACTAGGGTTCTTTTGAGATCATATAGATTTAGGGTAACAAGGAATTGAGCCCTAATTAACTTAGATAGAATTGATTGGCAATATATTAAGAAAATGTTCTTGATAGTTTAATTCATAACATACTGAGGAGATTGGGGGAAGTCGAAACCTTAACTACGCTTGTTTTTAAATTCTTTAATCCATCATCATCTTTTCAATTATTCTTTGAAGTCTGAATTTTCTTTAATTGCATGCTCTTACTTGTTTTTAATTTTAATTACTTTTTCAAAATACATTCCTCGTCATCTAAAATTTTTTATTGTCCAACTAAAACGCGATTAGCGAACTAGTGCTTGAAATTCTGATCCTCGTGGGAACGATCTCGTACTCAATACACTTTTATTACTTTTACGACCGGTGCACTTGCCAAGTCGCAACAAGTTTTTGGCGCCGTTGTCGGGGATCAAATTATTCAACATTAGAAGTAACTAATTACCTTTTAGATTAGACGTTTTAATTTTTCTCTGCACTTTAATCATTCTTCAAAAATATTTTTTCTGCATTAAAATTCTGCATCAATTTTCTGCATATTTTAAATTTCTGCATTCTTTTTCTATATTTTTTTGTTTTATGTTTCTGTTTTTGTCTTCTTCTATTTTTCTATTCATCTTTTCAATCTTAGTTTATGTGAGGTACTCTTAACCCAGGAATCTTGCAGTTTGACCTTGAGATAGAAAAGACGGAAAGAAAACTTAGGAAGGATGCAAAGGCAAAGAAAACGAAGGAAGCAAAAGAAACCTTAAGTTCAACGGAACCAAGGCAGGAACCAATGGCAGAAAATAATCAACTTGCTCCGAGGACACTGGGAGATTACATGACTCCAGCTCGTGTGGCGCAGACAACAAGTATTGTTAGACCAAACATAGAAGCTAATAACTTCGAGCTGAAGCCGGCGCTACTACAATTAATTCAAAAGGAGCAGTTCGCTGGAGGAAGCACGGAAGATCCTTATATTCATCTTGATAATTTCTTGCTTTATTGTGATACTTTAAAGACGAATAGAGTTTCCCGTGACGCCATCTTGCTCAGGTTATTTCCATGTTCACTGAAGGACGATGCGAGAGCTTGGCTGCAGTCACTACCTGAAGGAAGTATAACCAGTTGGATGACTTAGCCAGGAAATTCTTGGCCCGTTTTTTCTCCGCATCAAAAATGGCAAGGCTCAAATCAGAAATCACCGCTTTTGAACAAAAAGAAAGTGAATCGTTCTACGAGGCCTGGGAAAGATTTAAAGGACTACTCAGAAAGTATCCCCAACATGGCATTGAAGCATGGGAGAAAGCAAGGATCTTTTTCCAAGGGAGACGCCAAGTACAAGAACACTGGTGAATGCTGCTGCAGGAGTGACGTGCGTTGTCGAACCCACGCAAATTACCAAGCTTCAGGTTTGTAGTGATAGGGCAACTCGAATCGTCTCCCAAAGAACCTGCTAGAAATCAAAAAGTCTCTTGTAAAATAAAATAAAAAAGGAAGGGAGATTTTGTTGATTTGAAATTTTAATAAAAACAGATTTAAAATTTGAATTTAAAAATTACAATTAAAAAACAAAACCTAAAGAATCAGGATTCATTAATTTATTTCATCATTGGATAGAAAGATATGATTATCAATTTATGATTAACCCCAATCGAATTAGGAATCCTCAAATTCAATTAGAAACCATCTCTAGACTATCGTCTAGCGTTTGGTTGAATACAGTATTTAAACTATGCAATTGCAGTAATATAAACCTGTTCAACTTATGTTCATTGGGTTGGTTAATCTGACCATTAAATCTAATGATCAATTTTCCCTTGTAGAGTGCAATCGCATTATTCAGTTTGAATATCTACAATCGCATGATATTCAACCTGAATTGGGAAAAAACGAAATTGATGAAAAAGTTAAAAACTGATCCTCTAAAATAAACTAACGAACCTTTAACCTTAGATTGATTAAAGGTGTTTAGTCTAGCATTGCGAGGTTAAACATCATTCAAAATAAAATAAGAGAAGAAGAAGAAGATGAAAAGAAAGAGTGCATAATTTCGATAAAGAAAACTAAAACAATTGTTCAACTCAAAATCTGACTACCGAAGGGTTTCCTAACGTTTCCCTTAAATAACCACATTCAGAACGGGTTAGGGTTTCACCACTTCGGCTCATACATAAAATAAAATCTGAATAAAATAAAATAAAATATTAAAACATGACCTTGGGCCCTAAACACATTGGGTTCTAATTGATTTACAAGTCAAAATATCAAAATAAAATTTCAGCAAAAATACGTCATGTTGAGCTCAGTTTTCGACCATCTTCCCGTCAGAATTGGGCTTTAGTAGCTGAAATAGCGATTGTAGCCATATCTGTTAGCTACAAAACCCAATAAGAACAGAGTTAATCGGACATCTGTAGAGTAAGATATAGTCAAACTACGAAAATCAATAAAACCCAATCAAAATCTAGAATTATTATAACAACCCTAAATATTGTATCATGATTAATGAAGAATTATGATAATTAATAAACGAGACATTTCAGATGAAATAGTTTATGATTAAGTAAATTAGAAGTATGGGTCCAATGGACCAAAGACATAAGCATTAGGGATCCAATGAATTCATGGATCAAAGTATAACCCAACAAAGGAAGTTTTAATTCCATTTAATGTGGACAAGTCCAAGTGATACAAAGAAAGCTCTATATGATAAAGTAAAGTTCAATAAGGTAAATGAAACCCAAATCAAGTTAAAGCCCAAAGTAAGGCCATGACATAATAAACCTAAAGAAGTACTATATGACTAGGAATTAAATTAGAATTCTTTCCCTACAAGCAAGAAGCCCACGGTTTTACTAGAGAAAACAAGCTCTAAGAAGTCAATTTAAAGTGTCATAAAATCATGGAAAAATAGGCACAAATTAGGTCAGGTTAATAGGTTAAAGGTCCATAATCTTAAGGAATAAATCATGGTCCAAAATTAAATGAAATCTTTTCCTTCCAAGCATTTAAAATCCGCGGCCTAGGTGTAGGAAATGAATTTGATTTTATTTGATTTTCAAGCCATTAAATGCAAATCGAATTTCCTTAAGTCAAGCCAGTCAAATTCCTTTAAACAAGGAAGTTAGGATTATGATGATTAGTAGTCAATCACTTTCCCTAAATCAAGCAAATTGATGACAATATGTCAATCAATCAAATAATTCTGTTTCTTAAATCAAGGAAGCAACCTTTATGACGATTAGTCACACCTCATCAATCCCTTAAATCAAGGGAGCAACTTTTAATGACGATTAGTCACACATCATCAATTCCTTAAATCAAGCAATCACTAAATTTCCTTAATCAAGGAAATTGACATCATGTTCTTGTCCCTAAATTAAGCAATCTAACCTATGACAACAAATCACCACCTTACTCTCATTTAATGTGATCGAAACCTACCAGCAATCAAGTAATGGCAAGGCTTCTAGGTTGCCTATTTGAACAAGCTTTAGTCTCTCCTTTTTCCCTCTATAGCCGCGGCACTACCAAAGGAAAGAACAAAGAGTTTAGTTCATTTTGTGAAGTCCATGAATGCTTCGAAATGGTGAGTGTGTTAGTGAGAAATACCTAATTGTTCCAAGATCAAATACAAGCCTGGATCTTAGTCCTTCTTCCTAATAATTCCACCAAAGAACCCTTCATCTCTAAGCAAGAAAATCCCTCTTCTCCTCTCTTTAAGCTTGCGGCCTTGTATGTTCAAGGAGGAAGGAAGTTCATTCAAGAAGATTCAAAGTAGTCAAGAAGTGTTTCCTTAAGTCGTTGATCATCATCAAAGGTAAGCCTATGAACCTTCTTGGTTAGGAATGACATGTAAAAGCATGAAAGTGATATCCTAGGTATATGATCCCTAGAAGGCCGAACCATGTATGATAATTATAAGCATGAAGAAATGTTTAAATGATATGAAAGATGATGAAATGATGATGTTAGATTAGCATGTTTAGTAGCCTAGGTTCTAAATCAATTTTGCATGATCATAACCTTAGTTGGCCGAATATATAAGATGATGTTTTGAATGATGCTCTAGGATTTAAATATGATAAATTATCAATAATGTTAGAAGCATGTTTTAGAAGTAATCCCTTAGGTATTTTAGGGCAATAAGGCCGAATGGTATGTAGCTAAAAGAGGTTTTATTTGATTAATGTTGAAAGGATCTAACCATGTTAAGTTAATAATATAATTGAAAGCATGTTTTAAAAATTATATTCCTAGATGTTTATCTATGGTGGCCGAACCTATACATGCCTAGAATGAAATCTTTAATAATTCTATTAAGTGTTATGATGACCTAATAATGCCCTAAAACCTACACAAGTGGGTAAGTAAGCAAAACAACTCCTCTAGGTAATTAAACCTGCAAAGCCGAGACCTATACATGGATAAAACACAAATGTTGGATGTTATATAAGTTACTAAAAGATGATATGATGATGTTAGGGAGTCAAGGGAGCAAACAGGCAAGTAAAGAGATCAAAAGTTGAAAGTATACAAGTAAAGAACGACAAGTACAGTAAGTGTTTACAGTTGTTGAAGTAATCTCTCTATGTATGCCACCATTATGAAACTATGATAAGTTATGGTCTGACTGCAATATGTTTATAGTGCTTTACATTATGTGATTATGATATTTTTGAAACTTAAAACCATGCTATTAAATGTTGGCCTGTGCACTGATACTCTAGTTGCAACCTGACGAGGACTCTGGGTATCTCCGTAAGTCCGTAAAAGCCGGCAGGAATATGATGATGATGAAGATGGCATGATATTTTTATATGATGATGTTAAATGTTCCATTTTGTATTGTTATTATAAACTGTTGCAGGAGTAAGCGTCATAGTTGGAGAATGCTCCAGCTGTGAACCTTACTGAGATTTTCCCCAAAATCTCACCCCCCTTGACCACCCATTTCAGGAAAAGATGAAAGAAAGTAATAAGAAAGTTATGTGGGAAAGAAAGGGTAAGAGACTGGTACGTAAAGAAGAAGAAACTCCACCTACCTGGGAAGAGAAACTAAAGGATCTAACAGATAGAGGCCTATGGACTGAGGCTATGAAATTATTAATAGAAGCTTTTCCACATTATGATTTCGATGAAGCACTAAGTACACAATGGCTAGAGGAACCACAACCACATTATGACTGGGCTTATGATGCGGCATAAATTATGTTTTTATTTATGATTAGTTAATCTTTTGGGATTACATTAAATAATGTTTAGTGTTATTTATTTTGTATTGACGTTTTAACACTTTTAATTTTATATGGAATAAGTATGGTTATGTGTTTCCATTCCGCACTCTGATATTTGCATTCGTAAAGTTTAAATTTAGACTTCCGCACGTTGAATGCATGATGAAGGTGCACCCTATATGTATTTATATTTGGGGTGTTACAATTATGATTTGACCCAAAAGACCTTTATGTAATTAAAATAAATCCTAAAAATATCAACCAAGAGTAATAAATAAGTGTAATAAAATATTTGTTATCAAATTTCTCCACACTTATCTTTTTGCACTCCTGGGCAAAAACTGAAATAGAAAACAGAGACTACGATCAACCAATTCCTTCTAACAATTATCAAGCATACAGAAAATATACAAAGATCACAAGTCTTCAACATATAAATCAATCAGGACAGAAATTCCCTAATCTCAAAACACAAGACCTGCTAATTTCAACTGTACATGTCAATTACAGAAAATGGTTCCTCACAAGATGCTCTCAATATTTTTCTCTCAAGTGTATCAGGTAATCAGTGTATCGCTCAAATCTACTCAAGAAAATCATTCTACCATAAGCTTGCTCAAATTCTACTTCTCCACTGCTACTAACACATGCATGCACAAATCAAGAGGGCTTTATACAGGGTTGTAATGGGGCTGAGGTGAAGGTATGAATGAAATATGAAAAAGAAAGTAAAACACCCAGAAATCTACTAGAGCAAAAGTTAGAAACTACAATAAGAAAACAACAAAGATAATGAAAAGATAAAAATAACACTTTTTTTTCTTTTTGCTTTTTCTATTTTTTTTCTTTTTGCTTTTTCTAATACAGAAGGGAATCAGATGGTCACCCCCCACACTTAAACTTTTGTCCGTCTCGGGCAAACCCCCACACTTAAACACAACATCACAGTAAAACCAATGCTCAGTAAATCTCCAGGGTGTGGAATTAATTGGTTTTTCACTTAGGTTTGTAAGGTGGCTCAAGAAATAAAGGATATAAAGGCTCAAAGGGGCTCACCAAGAGATAATAATGTAAGGTATGGCCATCTGGCTAAAGTGGGTAAAGAAAGAAATGAATGCCTCAATCATATTCATGCATGTAAGTGAAAAATGCAGTTTCAAAAAGAACTAAAGCAAGTTCTAGAGAACAAATATCAAGAGCAGAAGCACACAAGAAAGAAATAATGGCAGAAGATGTATGCCATGTATATAGGCTCAAAAATTCACAAGGGTCAACCAAATTATGCAATCAACAGCACAGAATCAAACAACAGGTATTGCAATCCAAGAATCGAGATCAGAGTCCAACAGACTAAGAATCATGCAATCAAACATTGTGATCTAAGTCTACTCCATGTATCATTCAATAATTATAAGAAGGAAGAGGAAAATCTACCTAGGAAAATCAAAAACTAAAAGAAAGCAGAAAATGCAAATAGCAGAAAGAAAAGAAAATAGGGAAAGGAAACTCCCTGAACTCCCTAAAGAGAATAGACAGCATCAAGCAGCCTGATCTCTGCCTCCATCTCTGTATCCTCTGGCTGCTGTGGTGTTCCTTCATAGAAAGGCTTCAGACGATGCCCATTCACAGTAAATGTGCTCCCATTCTACTTGTCTTTTAATTCAACTGCTCCATAAGGAAAGATATTAGAAATAACAAATGGGTCATTCCATCTTGATCTAAGCTTACCAGGCATGAACTTAAGACGGGAATTAAATAGTAGAACATTCTGGCCCACTACAAACTCTTTCCTCAGGATCTGCTTGTCATGGAATGTTTTTGTTTTCTCTTTATATATCCTGGAACTCTCATAAGCATCCAATCTCAACTCTTCTAATTCCTGCAGCTGTAGTTTCCTCTCCACTCCTGACTGGATGAGATCCATGTTGCATTGTTTCACAGCCCAATATGCTTGATGCTCCACCTCTACCGGAAGATGACATGCCTTTCCATAAACAAGTCGGTAAGGGGACATCCCAATGGGAGTCTTGTAGGCAATCCTGTAGGCCCACAAAGCATCTTCAAGTCTCTTGCTCCAATCCTTCCTGTTAGAATTGACTGTTTTCTGAAGGATTTTTTTGATTTCTCTGTTTGAGACTTCAGCTTGTCCATTGGTCTGTGGATGGTATGCAGTGGCTACCTTATGAATCACACCATATTTCTTCATTAATTCAGCCATGCTGCGGTTGCAGAAGTGAGAACCTTGATCACTGATGATGGCTCGAGGAATGCCAAACCTACAGAAAGTATTAGATCTGACAAAATCTACAACAACAGCAGAGTCATCATTCCTGGTGGCTTTCGCCTCAACCTATTTAGATACATAACCAACAGCCAAAAGAATATATGTAAATCCAAAAGAAACAGGAAAAGGGACCTATAAAGTCAATACCCCAAACATCAAAAATCTCACATAAGAGTATAGGGTGCTGATACATTTCATGCCTACGGGAAATACTACCTGCTCTCTGACAATTATTGCAAGATTTACAGAATTCATATGCATCATGAAACAGAGAAGGCCAAAACAAACCAGAATCTAAGACTTTCCTAGCAGTTCTTTGTGGTCCAAAGTGACCACCACAGGCAGATGCATGACAAAAATTTAAAACAGATTGAAATTCAACATCAGGCACATATCTCCTAACTACTTGATCACTACAAAATCTCCACAAGTAAGGATCATCCCACACATAATACATAGACTCACTTTTAAATTTCAGGATCTGAGCCTTAGTGGATTCAATAGGTAAAACTCGAGAAGCCAAGTAATTAACCAAATCAGCATACCAGGGAAACTTACCTTGCAGCTGCAAAAGCTGCTCATCAGAAAAATCATCATGAATAAGGAGAGGGTCAGATGAAAGAGAAGTGATGCAGCTCAGGTGATCAGCAACCCGGTTTTCTACTCTGCTTCTATCTTTGATCTCAATGTCAAACTCTTGGAGCAGCAACATCCACCGGATGAGTCTAGGCTTAGCATCTGCTTTCTTTAAAAGAAATCTCAAAGCTGCATGGTTCAGGCGCCTCTGAGGTTGCCTCACTGGTTTTGCACCTTCTTCAAGCAAAATGTGGTGCATGCACATGGAAGGGCTGATTCCCACAATGTCTGTTGATAAACCCTTGGTTTACCATGTTTTAGGCTTAATTATACTTAAAATATATCATGAATTGCATGGAAATTAGGGTTTTATACTGTAAAGTCATGGTAATTGAATATCTTGCTAACATGTTATTATAATTCTTAATTCAAGGGATTTTTGACACCTATTGTGGCATTTTGGAACCAAAAGAAGACATCAAGTTGAGTTGAAGCCACAAGAATGCAAGATTCCAAGTGTGTACCAGCTAAAGTAGGACGTTTTGGCGTCCATGAAGGATGTTTAAACGCACAAAAGGAAGAAAACACCCATAACTCCCTAGAGGAGAGCGTTTTGGCGCACAAACAACACGCCAAAACGCTCCTGAAGCAACTAGCAACCCTTCGAAGAGCACATTTTGGCGGCCAGAAGCGCGCCAAAATGCTTGAAGGCAGACAAGAATACACTACAAGAACGTTTTGGCGCACACAATGAACGCCAAAACGTCCATGCACGGCCAAAGCAACTCCAGGAAAGATTTGATCAAGATATGCAGCGGATTCTATAAAGATTCAAAGAGGAAACATATCAACCATGATCAAGGCAAGATATAAATCCAATAGTGAGATGTGATGAAAGATCACAGCAACGATTCAAAGCTCAATATCGTTAATCAATCTCCAAGATATTAAATGCAAAAAAGAAACAACTGTGAAATCAATTACAAATCTGATATAAATTCATTAAGAGATTTAATGATAGATAGAACTCCTATGGTTATAAATAAGGAGTTTCGGATCAAACCAAAGGACGAACATTCATAGATCAATTAAGAATGCAAAGCTTGAAGGAGGAATCTTGTTGCGGAGCGCTGAAACACTGAGGAACCAAGTCAACATCACACCAATGGAGGCTTGGGGTTCTCTTTTCTTTATTTTTGTTTTTCAATTCAGTATGTCTGAGTAGTCTTTTATGTAGTTAAGGGTAGATAGAACCCAATTGAATCAATATGTTTATGAATTAAATTGTCTCCGAATTCTGTTCTTTTAATAATTGAATAAATTATCTGTCTTTATTGCTTTCTATGAGTTTATTCCTTATAGAATGATTTTGGGGAATTGTATGACAATAGGGATGTTGGTGCATGAATCCTGACGTGATAATTTATCATAATCCTTGTGATCTAGGAATAGGCATAAGGTAATTATGCAATCTTGTAATTCTTGATCTTAATGCATTTTTCTTGGGGAATAATCGGGGAACTAGAGTTCTTTCAAGATTACATAGATTTATGGTAACAAGGAATTGAGCCGTAATTAACTCAGATAGAATTGATTGGGAATATATTAAGAAACAGATTCTTGACTATTTTAATTCATAACATATTGAGGATATTGGGGAAAGTTGAAACCTTAACTACGCTTGTTTTAAATTCATAATCAAACACCATCCTTTCATTCATTCTTTAAATTCTGAATTTTCTTGCATGCTTTTACTTGTCTTTAATTTTAATAATTACTCGTTACAAACACCATTCTCTTCATCTCAATTCTTGATTGTCCAACTAAAACGCAATTAGTGAACTAGTGCTTGAAATTCTGATCCTCGTGGGAACGATCTCGTACTCCAGTACACTTTATTACTTTCACGATCGGTGCACTTGCCGAGTCGCTATCAAGTTTTTGGCGCCGTTGTCGGGGATCGAATTCTTCAACATTAGAAGTAACTAATTAACTTTTAGATTGGACGTTTATTTTTTTGTACTTCATACATTCTTAAAAAAAATTATCCTTAAAAAATATTTTTCTGCATAAAAATTATGCATAAATTTTCTGCATATTTATTTTTCTGCATTCTTTTTCTATTTTATTTTTCTGTTTTGTCTTTTTCTATTTTTCTGCTCATCTTCTTGATCTTAGTTTATGCGTGGTACTCTTAACCCACGAGTCTTGCAGTTTGATCCTGAGATAAAGAAGACGGAAAGGAAACTTAGGAAGGACGCAAAAGCAAAGAAAGCTAAAGAAGCAAAAGAAACCTCAAATTCAACGGAACCAATGGCGGAAATTAACCAACTCGCTCCAAGGACCTTGGGAGATTACATGACCCCAGCTCGAGTTCCACAGACGGCAAGCATCGTTAGACCAACCATAGAAGCTAACAACTTCGAACTAAAGCCGGCGCTGTTACAACTGATTCAAAAAGAACAGTTTGTTGGAGGAAGCACAGAGAACCCTACAGTCATCTTGATGATTTCCTACTTTACTGTGATATGTTAAAGGTGAATGGAGTTTCTCGTGATGCTATCTTGCTCAGACTATTTCCGTGCTCACTGAAGGACGAAGCGAGAGATTGGCTGCAGTCTCAACCCGAAGGAAGCATAACTAGTTGGGATGACTTAGCAAGAAAATTCCTGGCTAGATTTTTCTCAGCTTCAAAGATGGCAAGACTCAAAGCGGAGATCACGACTTTCAAACAAAAAGAAAGTGAATCTTTATATGAGGCTTGGGAACGATTCAAAGGATCACTCAAGAGGTGTCCTCAACATGGAATTGAAGTATGGGAAAAAGCAAGAATCTTCTTTCAAGGGATGACGTCCAACACAAGAACACTGGTAAATGCTGTTGCAGGAGGCTCCTTGAAAATAAAGACTCCAGAGGAAGTGCTAGAATTGTTGGAATCATTAGCTTCTCAAGAATTTGACAATGCCCCTACCCCAGCTACACAAAGGAGAGCAAGAATCATGAAGCTCGACGGCTATGAATCAATCTTAGCCCAAAATGAACAAATGCTTCAAATGCACAAGAAACAATAAGCACAACTTGACGCTTTAACAAAACAATTTAATAGTTCTCAAGTTGCTTCTGTTAATAGTAATTCTCAAATTAAATGTGTTATTTGTGCAGAGGCTCATGCAACTGATGATTGTGATTACGTGAGAACAACTGAAAAGACACCAGAAAACGCTGATGTCAACGGAATCTGGTATGATCAGAAGAACCCGAACAATCCAGGAAGAAGCCAATATGGTAATCAAGGGTGGAAGTATAATAACCAACACCCTGGGTTGAGTTGCAAATCAAACTACCAGCTGAACCCTCCTATGCCATTGCAACAACAACCTCAAGGCACCACGTCAGAATGGGAAAAGGCTTTAGCACAGCTATCCAAGACCACATCGGACTACATTCAAAATGCAGATGCCTTCAGAGATGAAACAAGAGCTTCATTTCGGAATCAAGAAGCTTCGATCCGGAACATGGAGACTCAAATTGGTCAGCTTTCAAGACAGTTCACTGAAAGAACTCAGGGCACCTTTTCAAGTAACAATGACACGAACCCAAAGGCACAATGTAATTCAATTGTCACAAGAAGTGGGATCGTGATTCAGCCTGTGGAAAAGCCACCAGTTGAAAAGAAGAAAGAAGCCGAACCTAAAGCTGAGAAAGATAAAGAAGAAGATACAGTAGAAGCAGAAAGGAGCAGCCCAGAGAAGAAGCTGTTCAAATGGGAGAAAAAGAAAGCTCTTGACCGGCAACCAAAACCGGCAGACCCGTCTCCCTATGCACGAGTTCCATACCCACAGAGGTTGAAACAAGAAATCCAGAAACAACAATATACTAAATTTCTGGATATCTTCAAAAAGCTGCAAGTAAACATTCCATTTGCAGAGGCCCTGGAAAGCATGCCTAATTATGCAAAATTCATGAAAGACCTTCTATCAAGGAAACACAAGCTGAAGGAGTGCGAAACAGTGGCCCTAACTGAGGAATGCAGCGCAATCATACAAAAGAAACTTTCTCCCAAGCTGAAAGATCCGGGCAGCTTTAGTATCCCTATAGCCATAGGGAATATTAAAGTAGGAAAAGCACTATGTGATCTGGGAGCAAGTATAAACCTGATGTCGTTGTTCATGTGCAGAGCTCTGGGAATCAAAGAACTAAAACCGACTACAGTTTCTCTCCAGTTAGCAGACAGATCGATCAGACGACTATATGGGGTAATTGAAGATGTTTTAGTTAAAATTGAAAATTTTATCTTCCTTGCAAATTTTGTAATTCTGAATATGGAAGAAGACGCTGAGATTCCCCTACTGCTCGGAAGGCCATTCCTAGCCACCGCAAGAGCAATGATCGATGTGGAGCAAGGAAAACTAATGCTGAGAATGAATGAAAAAACAGTCACCATTGACGTCTTTGAATCAATGAAACATCCATCAAATGGAGGAGACTGCTTTATGATTGACATAATGCAAGAGGCAATTGATGATACTATGAAAGAGGAGAATTCCCTACTCGAGTTAGAACAAATCAATGAAGAGACAGAAATAGTTGACAAAGAACTAGTGGTGGAAGAACTTGAAAGAAAGAAAGATGACATCCCTCTTGGAGCACCGAAGGTATAGCTTAAGGAGTTACCTCCAAATTTGAAGTACGCTTTCCTTGGTGACAACAACACATATTCAGTCATCATCAATGTTGAGCTGACAACCGGGGAAAAAGAAAAACTTCTCAAGGTGCTGAAGAAACACAAAGCTGCCATAGGATGGTCCTTCTCTGACTTAAAAGGTATTAACCCTTCCTTTTGTACTCATTAAATTCTAATGGAAGAAAATATTAAACCTGTGAGGCAGCCACAAAGGAGACTCAATCCAACCATGAAAGAAGTGGTGAGGAAAGAAGTAGTTAAATTGTTGGATGCAGGGGTATCTACCCTATATCTGATAGCGCATGGGTAAGCCCTGTACAAACAGTACCAAAGAAAGGTGGACTTACGGTGGTAAGGAATGAGAACAACGAACTGATTCCGACAAGGACAGTCACCGGGTGGAGGATGTCCGTTGACTATATAAGACTTAATGCAGCCACTCGAAAAGACCACTTCCCTATCCCCTTCTTGGACCAGATGTTAGAGAGACTAGCTGGCCATGCCTTCTACTGCTTCTTGGATGGGTACTCGGGCTACAATCAAATAGCAGTAGCTCCAGAAGATCAAGAGAAGACGACATTTACATGCCCCTACAGAGTCTTTGCTTACCGGAGGATGCCTTTCGGCCTTTGCAACGCTCCTACAACTTTTCAAAGGTGCATGTTATCTATCTTTTCTGATATGATTGAAAAGTCCATTGAAATTTTCATGAACGATTTTTCTGTTTTTGGACCCTCTTTTGACAATTGTTTAGAAAATTTATCTAGTGTTTTACAAAGATGTCAAGAGAGCAATTTTGTTTTAAATTGAGAAAAATGCCACTTTATGGTAAAAGATGGCATAGTTTTAGGACACAAAGTGTCCAAAGATGGTATATAAGTTAATAGAGCTAAGATATCTGTTATTGAGAAACTTCTCCCTCCCTCTAACATTAAAGGTATTCGAAGTTTTCTCGGTCATGCAGGTTTTTAGAGATGCTTTATCAAAGACTTTTCTAAGATATCTGTTATTGAGAAACTTCTCCCTCCCTATAATCACTGCACCTGATTTCACACTACCTTTTTAATTAATGTGTGATGCTAGTGATTATGCTATAGGAGTTGTCTTAGGACAGAGAAAGAATAAACTGTTGCATGTGATTTATTATGCTACTAAAATTTTGAATGATGCACAAATGAATTATGCAACCACTGAAAAAGAGTTATTAACAGTTGTATATGCTTTTGATAAATTTAGACCATATTTGCTGGGGTCTAAAGTATTTGTTTACACTAACCATGCTGCTTTAAAGTATTTGTTAAATAAGCAAGATGCAAAACCAAGACTGCTAAGATGGATGCTGCTCCTTCAAGAATTTGAAGTTGAAATCAGAGACAAGAAAGGCGTGGAGAACTTGGTGGCTGATCACCTCTCCAGAATTCAAGAAAAATATCTTCAAGACGGACCTGAGCTGAAGATCAGAGAAAAATTCCCCGATGAGCAAATTTTGGCCATCAATGTTATCGCCGACCTACAACTAGAGGAAGTAAAGAAAACAAGCACACCTCCATGGTTCGCGAACTTCGCAAATATAACACCTCACAATTCTAAATTAAGTATTAAAATATTAAGTGAGTAATTAAGTGAAGGATTAGTGAAAATCCTAAAGATTAGGCCAAAATACAAAGAAATGGCAAAACGGTAATTAGCCAACACTCAACCCTAGGAAGATGAAAATAGAGTAGCAGATCTCAGATGGTAAAAATAATCCTGGAAATGGGTTCAGAATGAAAAATTGAGTGGTTAGGCAAGTTTCAGAAAAATCAGTGAATAGTGTTTTTACCGGGTCAAAATATCGCGGTACGATTGCATCGTAAAATATGCCAGTTTAATTTTGAGCTCTAGGTTTCAAATATGACTTATAAATGGTCTATAGAACTAGGAAATATGATTTCTGATAATATTTGATGGAATTAAGTTAGTTTAGGGAAGCGTGCCAACGGCGCGCGCAGCAGCTTAAAAAAGTGTTTTCTCCGAACGACCGGAAAACTCTGGATTCATCTGATCAAGTATAATTAAAGGAAAATGGTTAATGTTAAAAATTAGAGTTTTTAAATAGGTTGTAAATTTTTGGACGTTTAGTGAAAGTTCGGATGAATTTTAAATCGCGTGAGGTGGCGTGGGACCCACCCCACTTAAATCTCACTTAAGCCACCTCACCCCTAACTATTCACCATCACTTTCCCTTCCTTTCTTCTTGCAAAAACCGACCAGCCCCCTCCTTGGCACCTTAGGGCTTCCATTTTTCTTCCTTGCTAAATCTTTCATTTCTCAACCAAATCGAGTGATTTTTGTGTTGAAATTTGTTGGAAACAACCTTCCAAACACATTGGTGGTATCCATTAACCTTGAAACCCTCTCTTTGGTGAGTTATTGGCCAAATTCAGATTAGAAATTTTAAAGAAAATGGATGTTCATGGAGTCATTTGATCTTCCATTGCTTGGATAAGTCTTGGGGTAGCATCAAGCCTTGGTTGTGAGTATATTTCCACCCCATTTACATGGTTTGATTGTAGTTTATATTCATGAACCCTAAACCTTGAAATTTTGATGTGTGATGTTAGAGAGCTCAATTGGGAAAAAGTTTGTACATGGAAGTGTCTTAGAATAATGTGTATTAGCTATAAATACCATGAAAATTTTAGGTGAAAAATATGGATTTTTAACTTAGTTTATTTTTTAGGTGTCATGACTTGAATTTTGGAAAATGTGTTAAGATATTATTGGTGAGTTGTTGGATGATTATATGTTGATATAATGGTGTTGTATGAGGTGTGGAATGATTAAAATTGAGTGAGAATTCTTTGGAAATTCCAAGTGGGCAATTCGGCCATATAGAGAGCTTTAGGGAGTTGAGGTTGTTTGTGTTGATTGGATGATATTACAAGTGTTGAATGGTATTAAAATTGGTTGTGTGGTGGTTGGAAAGTGGTAGAATCAATGAAAAATAATAAATGGTATTTAGGGTTATAAAGGAACCTAGAGTGAATTATTAAGCAAAACGATGCTTAAAGGACATAAAACGGAAAAACAGAACTTGAATTAGCCTCTTGGCAACGTAAGGACGTATAATAAAATGAGAAAGAAAATTTAGAAAAATAAATTTGGATTTATGCCTTGTTTGGCCGAACCACCTAGTGTAGGTGTAGGATTTTGACGTTTTTCGCGTTTTGATAGAATTGCCGTGTACTAACGATTCATACATGGTTATTGTAGGTTGTCGTACGTCGATTTGAACCCCGAACCGTGAGTCGGTAGATTGCCCTTGGTCCTGGACCAAGAGGATTGAGGTAAGTGGTTATATCAATGCATGTGAAATTGTAAATTGGCATGTGTTGTATGAGTCTTTTGAGTAATTGAGAATGTCCTCTGTGTAGGCATTCTGTTGAATAACCAGTTTAGGAAATAAGTTGTTGTGGAGCTAAGTGGAAGAACATTTTGAGGTAACCTCTTGGTACTAGGGCTTGTTTCCCTTGTGTGTTCCACCATGCCAGTTGATGGTAATGGTAGGAAATATATATGAGTAGTGTAGAACAGTATGAGCATGCATGTAGTATTTATGAGGGTACTTATGTACCGAGTCTCTGGCCAGTAGACAATGTAGCCTTCGGGCAGTTTCGGACTTCCACTGGATAGGTCTCCGAGAGGGAGTTCCAGTTGACCTAGGGTCGTGGTGTGTCATCCGGATAGGAGCACACTAGGAAGTCTCAGGTGTATATGGATGGAAGGGGTACCTTGGTTGTGGTTCTTGGAACACGCCTTGGATGAGACCCGTAGGCTTATATATATCGAGGACGTTGCGTGGTATTGGTAGCTACCATCCCGCTTCGTCGTATTTTGTATCCCGATATTTCCCAATTTCTCTAAACCCCTTGCTATATGCCGTTTTGAGAGATGTTGTTTTATATTATTTATATGCATCGAAGTGAGCCATTGGGCGGAGTTTTCTCTAGAACCTCTGGGTTACTGAGATATATTCGTATCTCACCCCGTCTTGGGGGCTTTATTTCAGGAGCTAGTAGTGGCATTGGAGCGGTGGGCAAGAAGCCCGTAGAATGACTAGTGGGAGCACCTTTACCATTTTGCATTTTGTTGGCCATGTGGCCTAGGCTAGACTTAGAGCATGAACATCTCATATGTACGTAGGATGAGTTTCATAGTCATTTTGTTCATGTAGTTTTGCCTAAATCTAGCAATTTAGGTTGTTAAGTTTATGTTTCAATTTGTAAATCAAAGTTGAAATATTTATAAATTGGAATATTTGTAAGTTGTAATATTTGCATGAGATGTTGTAAGTATACATAGATATTGATGTAATATGATGGAAGGGCTTTAGACCTATTTTAGGATCATGATTATATGCTTATGTTGAGAAATTGCATGTAATTGGACCTTGGTGATTGAAACAAGTTAAGGATTATAAAGTGAGCTATACTGTGTAATAAATATAAACTGTGTTGGGTTGTAAGTGCCCCAAGGCATTGTTGGTCCTTATGTGTGCCACCCATTAGATTATTAGGTACATTTGATGTACTAGTGAGCTTATGCAAATTTGGGGATTTTAGGAAAAACAAAGAAAACTCTGGCGAATTTTCTGTAGAATTGGCAGATTTTAGATGAACTTCGGGAGAGCATATCTCCCTCCACTGAGGTCCGATAAGGACGTTCCATACGCCATTTTAAATCTTAAGTTGTCCCCTACATGGTGTTAAAATATGAGAAATTTATGGGTTGCACGCAGCCCTGTAAGAGTCATTGAACACTGACTATCCAGAACCCTCTTATGCAGGGGCTGTTTCTGGTAGTTTTTGGGAAATTAATTCCCGCTTCGTTTCTCAGTCAAATTAAGCGTACGATATATCAAATTGAATTTTGAGGTGTCTAGTTTGTAGCATGAAAAGTTTAGAGCAATTGGATGAGTGGATCGTATGCAGTAAG